TTCCAAATGTACTTTAATTTCATTCAAATCTCCCCTAACTAAAGTGCCAAATTGCCTCAATATAGATAAAATCAAGGTTAAAAAATAACAAAAAAATCCTAAGTCTGACCAAAGTCAACCACACCATAAAGGTTATTACATTGAATACGCCAACAACTGAAAAAATAAGAAAAGTAATATACCTATTAAGTTCTGAACATCACAGTTTTGATTTTAGAAACAGAAGTTTCAAACAGGTCTTTGAGAAACAATCTTGGACATTCGACTGGAAGTCTAAAGGCACCAAGTATTATGAATTGAACCTGGTACATTGAAGTCAAATTTGTCAAAATAATAATTTTCTTTTAGTAATCCATTTTGAATTAAACTGAAAAATTATACTTACATATATTAGTAGAAAACGGTCTCACGTTACAAAATATTTTACAAGACCAAATTATTTTAAGGAGAAAAAGTGCACATAATGATCGTCGGTGTTTTGTGGAAAAGGAAATTTCCCATGTCAAAGGGCGTCAAGACGTCTGGCGCCGTTTGGTTTCAATCCAGCATCCAGTTCAATTGGGAAAGCCCTACTGGTGGGTTGAGTTTATTAGATGTTAAAAAACCAAACGTTATTAAATAGTTTAAAAAATGGAGAAAAAGTTTCTGTACTGTCTCCCTCTGAAAAGTGGCGCTTGGGTTATGGCTTTTATTAATTTGGTAGGTACAATATTTTTAAATTTTCATAGTCAGACAAGTAATAGGAAATAGCATGTAAATGATAATAGTAACTATCCAAAATGTAACTATTGCAAAGCAAAACAAGTAACAGAATGTGTGTAGAAAAAATATTTAGCTGTCAGAGTTTTTGTCATTTATTAGTATATAGTGCCTTTACAGCAAGGTACAGGGTGTTTATTAACTACTTGTACAAACTTTAAATGGTGAATTTTTGACTAATTTTAAGGTAAAAAGTTCATATGAACATGGATCCGCAACGGCTTGATTCTTGAGATACAGTGTGTCCAAAAAAAATTTTATTTGATATTTTGATTATATATTTTTTTATGGAACACCCCCTCTTCGATTAGTAAAATCTCACGTAAGAATGGGTGGAGGGGGTTCTGGAAAATTTAGGGCCTCTTAGGTGGAGTGTGGGGGGTCAAATATTGAAATAAATTTATTTATTTATAATAATTTATTTTATTTCAGACTGTTGCTGCAATTTTCATAGCAAAAAGTAGCATTGAAATGTCCAAAGAACGTACACACGAACACAAAGTCTATTTAATTCTAGGCATTATTATGGGAGCTCTCAATACCTTTGCAGGGGTGATATTAATAATGGGTGTGGTGAAGGTAAGGGTAGTTTCCGCTTACAAAATATGGCATGAAATACTTACGTAAAAGGCTCATACTTTGGGAGAAAGTATACAGGGTGTACACTATTATTAACTCCTGAACCACGATAAAATTGAATAAATCATAAATTTGGCGTTTTTTGGGCTATAATAAAATCTCTTCAAGTATTATGCATCGTTGAACACGAAACTTAAACTGAAATATTTAATCTTTAATCTAATGGTGCAAAAATTCAATATGGCGTCCATATAAAAAAATCAAAAGTTGATTATAAAAACATAAGGATCTAGGAGGCCTGGAAGATGTTACAACCCTGCAATAGATAGAGCTTATGGTCTTTTGTATACATACCGATTTTCATTATTCTACTTTCAATAATAAAAAAGATATGGAGGTGATAAGAAAAGCCAAGTTTTCAGTTTTTTCAGCTTATTTCAGGAACGGTACAACTTACCTTCAATTTCTTTTCATAATCCGAAATAGCATGAAAATATGCAACTTTTCGGTAATTTAGCCAACCTTGTATATCTAGTTTAGGAGATATCTACTAATGGTGTATATCTTAAAAGTGACCACCCTGTATGTGTAAAATTAAAAAATTTGAATTTTGAGTAAATGAATATATGACGTGTTTTAGGGAAAAGCAGAATTAGTTCTTCTCTATTTACTCTTAGAGTTGTCCAATTTGATAAGTTTAACAATATTTGTCTTTTTCAACATGTTGGCATATAAATCTCTCGTTCTGGGAGAACTCTTTCTAGGCTGCAGTAAGTACTAAGAGTTTTTTTTAATAAATACATATTTCACTAACTTGTAGAATTATGCAATCTTCCCCATTTACTTTACTTGATAATTTAATGCGTATTTTGAAACAACATAGTTAGAAACACAGTGAAGACCTCTTCAAGGGAGCTATAATACGATTTCTAAATCTTTCAATTTCAATGATTTTGAAAAAATATTTATAATGAAAATAATGTTGAAATTCGAATAGTATTGTCAGTGATGCAATGTCTCACTTTTTACGTATTTTCAGTTGCTTTGTGGTTTGGACTGATCTCAATGGTTGGATACTATACGCAAATGGCTGAATGCAACCCTGTGAAGTCGGGAACCATGGAAATAACTTGTAATCCACACATCAACCCACCGATGGAACTGCCCGAAAGGGCAATAGAAAGCACGGCGGTTTAAAAACACTGCATATCCCGAATTTTAGAAAGTTACAAGGGAAATTAGTTAATGGCGTTGTTGTCACTTTTGCGAGTTTGATACGGTGACTTTTTTAAAATAATATGATAAGGACGTTAAACTACACTGTTTGATAAAAGTTTATAATTTGTAAATTATTCAGCAGCATAGAAATGGGAAATTTTTAACCCTGTGACTTGTGTCAGCGAAAATGATTTGAATTTTATATCAAATTCAGAATCTTAAATATTTGTAAGCAAAAGATGTTTATTTATTACGCTAAGTGATACTATTTTTGAGTTATAGTGCTTGAAATGTAATATGTAATAACAAAATTAAAATGAAAAAATTATTAAAATAAAAGTTTATAATATAATAAATCAAATGAACTCTTACGTCAAGAACTAGCAAGAGTATAAACAAATAAATCTTTTTCAATTATTTTTTTTTAAATTATTTAACTTTTTAACTCATTTTTATCACATTATAGGTATACAAAATAATGCTGAGCTGCTTGTTCTCTGTCTTTAGTATTTTTTGGGTTCTATAATTCAAAAACAACGCTTAGTTGATGAAAAAATAGGTAATCTTTTGTTTAAATAAAGCTAAGAATTATTCACAATGAGGTTATAATTAAAATTGTTTTGACTGACATAAAATTTACAATATACAACAGGTTAGGAACCACTAATATTTACCTATGTCAAAAATAATAGTTTAGGGGCCCCATTACATGATCAAAAACTACAGAAAACTGTTAATTTATTTCTGAGCTATTTCCAAAATTATGTTTTTTAATTCAACACCTTGTAACTTTTAATAACTGGCAGGGGCTGACAGCATAAAAAAGCAGTTTTGTTACATTTTTGATGCTCAATCTCCTGCCAATTTTTTTATGCTTGCTATGAATCCCTCTGTACGTTAAAGTTTTATTTAAATGTTAAAATCCTAAAATAACTGAAGCACTGAAAATTGAACTCAGCAATCCACTAAATTAACAAAACTGTTCTGTGAAAAGCATATTACATTGCCATATTGATAATTTCACGATATACACATAATTATGATGTGAAACTCAGGAATACAGCAATATCTAAATATATTTTTATATTTATTAAGCGAAATTCGTTTACTGTAAAGTGACTGTATAAGAGATAGTTCTTTAATAATAAACATTTTCCAAATGTCCAAACATTTTATTAAAATCTCCCCAAACTAAAGTGCCAAACAGTCTCTGTACAGATGGAATCAAGGTTAAAAAAAACAGAAAAATCCTAAGTCTGTGACCAAAATCAACCACACCATAAAGGATATTACATTGAATACACCAACAAGTGAAAATATAAGAAAAGAAATATACCCACTAAGTTCCTAACATCATAGTTTTGATTTTAAAAACAGAAATTTCAAACAGGACCTGGAGAAACAATCTTGGACATTTGATTGAAAGTATAAAGAGGCCACAGTATTATGAATTTAACTTGCTACATTGAATTCAAGTCTGGTCCAGACTTCAGGACAATATATTAAGGAATTAGCAATTTTGTACAGTACATTAACAGAAAAAAAGAGTCGACAAGTGTCGAGACTGTCAACTTTGTACTCGGCTAATAAGTCATGGGGTGTCCTATAAATGAACAGAATTTATGTGACATAATAAGCATGCTTTAAAAATTTTCTATGTACATTTTCTGCCGTATGGCTTTTGTCATATTTGGGATACCAGACTGAGGATTACTATTCTAATCTGGAAAATAAAAATTGGGTCTTGGGAGATCAGCATCATTTTTGTATAAGGAAAGATGAATATACTCGGCTTGCGGGAAAATCACAAAAACACGCAATTCTGCATTTAGTTATTACGTAGCAACAAAAACGTAGGTAGAAATTTGTTTTGCCGGCAAATATCCTTCGGGAACGCCTGTATAACTAGATTCAGAAAGTTTTAATTGGGTTCAAAAAAACTCGCTGCGAAATCTGGAGAGAATACCTGAATGCCAATGGAAAATTTAACGAGCAAAAAGCGAAAAACAGGAATAATTTTGAATAATTTTCATGAGCAGATAAGGATACAAAAAATAAAGCACCTTGTGGAACATATAAATGAGTTGAATATAAAAGTGAATACACTGATTTAAAACAACTTTTTCTATTGTATATGTGAAAATAAAGATTTTCTCACGACTTACCCGATAGGAATCGATATTTTTCCTCTCTTGGGACAAAAATATTTTTGTCCCTAAATTTGCTTGTCACTTAATAAAGTGCTCATTGAAAAAAATGCTTCTTCGATCCTATTTCGTCTGACATGAGTTAAATTCCAAACCGTCTGGTTAACGAAGATATCATGATCCTTCAGTTACAGGTGCTGAAATAAGTAGCAGGTATTAAATTAAAACACAGTTTTTCCAGTAATACACTTCCAATTTTTTTTTTTATCAAAATATATGTTTACAATAAGTTATTTGTATTGTGAAATACCTACAATAATTTATTCGGAAACCTATAACATAAAATATCACATATTCATACAAATATTTGTACATCTCCATGAGTGTTAAACAAATATGCTACGCTAACAATAAGTTATTTACAGGAAAATAATATAAAAATTAGATTGCACTATTTCTCTTAAATACTACTTTAATTAATTTTATTTGGAATTTATCTGTTTTGGAATTTGTTTGTGCTTTATTTGGAACATTTACATAACCTTCAAATTCCTACAGAAACTGAAATTGAGGTAAGAGTATTTGTCCTTGAAGAACATGGTTGGTTGGTTAATTTCCTGCTCATATCATGAGTTTATTTTCTCAATAGATTTTTGACAGCTAAACATAAAAACAAAACGCGTTTCTTCACACGACCAACCACTGCATGAAATTTTTGGAAGAACGGATCCATATTTCACATACTATACATTGCACTGCTTCCCTCATCAAATTAAAATTTATATCAAATCACTCCATTCCCAAAATGGTACACTGAATATGCCTTCCCACACTGATATCGTCTCTTATTGTTCTTGAGGTAGTTAGCAAATGCTAGTGATATGATTGAACCAGATATCTGAAAACGAAATAATAATTTTCACAGTTTTTCAATTCCAGTCAATTTTTATTGTAAATGTTGCAGGGGCAGGGGATGTCCACAGTATAATACGTGATAGGATAGATGTGTTGTAGATACTGGTAGTGTTATTCCTAGGCCTCAATGAGGATCGGAACAATGAATTCGTGAAAAAGAGAAAATACTACATCTTGTTGACGATAATTCCAGTACAAGTACAAGAATAATTGTCCGTCAAACGAGCGTGTTTAAGTCAAATGTACGTAAAATACTTAGATGACAATTATTGTACGCCTGATGTATCCAATGTGCGGAAGCTGCAGTAATAGATGTTCTTCATCGATTGTGGTTTATAGAAGGAAATTGCAATAATTTTATTGACAAAATTCTAGTCACAGATGAGACTTAAACAAATATATTTAGAAACCTTGGATTGAAGGAAATGGACCATATCATTGATGAATACGTTTAATTCTGGGTTCATACAAAATTGTTGGTATATTGCAATGAAATGGAACCAAAGAACAATTTTTAATTTTACTCAGAAAATAAAAATAGTACCATCAGTTTCCAATGTTTATAAGACAATTGGATAACTTAAGTTTTTAGTAAAAGTAAAAATTTGTCTTTCACTTTATTTCTTAATATCGTTGAAATGCAATTAGGTCTTATTTCGCATAAGACTTTTGCATATTTTGAAATTTTCTATTACATACGGCACTTATATCGTGGACACCCTGTATATTCCTGAAACAGCATTTATGTCTCAGTTCAATCTAATATTCCAAGAGTTAGTAATTTCAAAATCATTAAACAAATTTGATATGACAAGCGAAGATGTAAAATTAACTTTTTCCATGTGTAAAACACAAACAAATTTGGTAGGACGTCAATCTAAATGATGTATTACTTGAATAACATTAAATAGGTATTAATTTTACAGGAGTAATTTCATTATACTTTAAACAAAATCTTATAAAAAGTTGCTAGTTGTACTGAAATTTATTTATTTTTCATAGTTTTCTGTTCACTATTAAATTCTGTTACATAAAATATGGCAGTTTATAACAAAAAAAACTTACCTCGGTAATAGAAAGAGTTAGTGACATGATTCCTACGATTCTAAGGCAGTGATTCACATATTTTGAGACCAGGGCAGGGCAGGGTTCCTTATAAACATTTTTCGTATCAGTCTCAAAACAACTTCTAGGAATTACGGTCCAGTACGTGGGTCCGTTCATTCCACAACACCTGAGCTAGAAATTGTATCAAAATTAAGATATTTTCTTTTTTTAAGTCGAAATTATTTCGACAGTATCCACTTCAGATATATGATGACATGGTCGTACCTATATTAATAAAAATATTATGCAAAAACCTAATAATACTAATAATATAGGCAACTCGTAATACAAATTCGATCACATAGTGTTGCTCTAGAATCTATAATAATTATGTAAAACGGATGTGCTCTTTCATTAGTAATTTCAATACGATGGAGTCAATAGAGCCAACAAGAGATTTAATTTTTTTAATCAATATATTGATGAAATCCATCACATCAAAATGATTAATGAAAGAGCAACTATTACTACATTAATATCATTCCAAATAATTAATACTATTTTGTATCTTTGAAATGGATTTACTTAATATTGATTGGTTTCATAATTAAAAATAAAATAAGTTTAATAAATTTAGTGTTCTCTATAATGAAAATATTAATTCGATGACATCGTATGGAATAAAAATACGAACCACGTACACGGAATGTCACATTCTTCATTGGACACCATGTATTATTTTCTGATCTTTTGATTATCTGATTTTTCGGAAAATATAAATCGTTATTAGTTAGTAGAAAAGATATACAGATAATTTTTTTTATAACGAATGTACTTAAAATGATAAGGTGTATTAAGTCAAGTTCAATATAATTATTTCGATTGAGGTGTAAAATCTATCCATTAAAAATTACTTGAATGGAACAAAAAATGAGGTTAAAAACTAAGCAAATGTAGAAGTACAAACAAAACCTGCAGATTACACATTCATACAATCACTACAAATTTTACTACACACAGTACGAGGGAAACAAACACGATTTTGTTGATAATATCAATTTTCCGACCAGTTAAAACTGCATAACATCTTTGCCTCTGTTCACTTCTTTAGTTTAGTAATAATAGTAATAATAATCATCTTCCTTAACATCAATGTCATTATTTTAATCCGTCCGAAATAATTCCTTTGGTCTTCAAATTAAACATCAATATTTTCTTTCAATTGGTCACCTTCTGCAAAATGACGTCTCTTGACGAGCTGCTTCAAATTAGCAAATAAAAATAAATCAGACATAAGCAAATGCGGAGCATGTAGTTTACAGAAGTGACAGAGGATGGTTTAGACTTTGGTTACTTTGTAAACTCATACATTATCGTGATGACGAAATTTTTTTGACACAAGCCTGTAAGTTTTTGGTCAATAGCCTTACTTATTGTTAACGTAAACTGTTATTTTAGTCTCCTTTGGCATATATCGTACAAGAATAATTTCTGCATGGTTTCAAAAACCTCTTAACTGAAAATTGTGTGCCATCCTTTGTTTTGGAGGCGAAGAAAAAAGTCCACATCTAAAATTTCGAATGGTTTTGAGAAAAATTATGTCTAAACAGTTTTTGTTGTGTTGAACTCAACTTGTTGAAACTTTACTCATGTTTCCATTTCCATGTAATCAAGATTGGTTGCGCCTGAAGATGCTCCACTTTTTGGATTTTCGATATATTCACAACACCAGCTAAATAAGTCTTGGCCAATATTTTACTTTAGATATGATAGAACTCCGATTGTTCCTTTGTAAAAAAAAAGGATAACAGTGCAATTCTCACGAATTGCAATCAAATTTCGACACAAATAGGAAAGGTTATCACTATCGAACGTTACTAGGCAACACAACAATCATGGCTAGGTAGATTAATTTTCTAATATCCCTCGTATGTGAAAGCAATTTTAGTTGAATCATGCACTCAGTCAGGTTTAATTAGACAATAATTTCAATTTAGCATGGAATTTTACACTTTTAACAATTTTGATATAACCTACGCATAAGTGAATATTTGTATTCAAAAATAACAATTTCAATTTATTAAAACAGGGGAATATCACTTAACGTTTACACTGAGATTAAGCAGGATATTGCGAAACGCATAAAATATTATACACAGATCAGACAGATTTGCTACTTATTATTTTAAAATCTAAGTTTTTGAACTAAAAATATTTCGTTACTAACTATAAAAAGAAACTCACACTGTAACTCTGTGATTATAATTCCCGTGCGAGAATTTTTATTGAAAAAAAATTGTATTGGCTTACCCTATGCTGAATTAAGTCAACAATCTCCTTATTTTCATAAATTTGATAGTTACTAAATACGTCATTTAAGGTATCATTTAATTGTCGGTCAAACAGACACCTGTCGTTTATTTGGAAGAAGGATGAGATACCTACAGCCACTTGTAAGCCGAAAACCAACAACAGAATCGCTCCATACTGGAAAAAAAAACAAAACTGTTACTGTGAAAGGAAAATAAATTCACTTCTGTAAGTAGAATAAGCTGTGATGGTCATTTCATTAAAAGAGGTTCAGTTTAAATACACTCTGGACGACCAATGATAATAGTTATTTATTGTATAAGAGTTTTAAGTAGCGTTTTGTCCACGCAAGAACGTTTAAACGCGAATACGTTGTTCTGGCGTTTAATATTCTTGAGTGGATAAAAGGCAATTAAAACACGAATGCAACACAACGTTCAAATATTCGCACGAGTTGATATTTCTTACCAGTATTCAATGAAACGTGGTAGGTTTTGTTATACCTATTGAATGCTATAGTACGTTGTTTATTATCAATTATTTAATAAACAGTTCTATCTGAATTTGGTAAAATTGTAAGAAAGTAATTGTGTGGATGTTTTTGAAGAAGCTCAACAAGCAATTTTCCATTTATTACCAGCGAAATCCAGGGAACATTACGAAAAAGTGTTCGTCGAATTTAACGAATGGAAGGAGAAACGGAGAGTAATGACAATAAATGAAATCATGCTATCGTATTTTTTAAATTTGAAGAAAAAATATGCAATTTCATCTATGCTGGTGAAGTAGTCGATGTTGAAGGCAACTATAAAACAAACATATTTCCTGCTTATTTGTAGAGTGAATCGAGAGGATACAAAGCAAAAAAAGCTATAGTATTGGAAAGATATTGAAGAATTTGAGAATTAGTGATGTACAGGACGTTGGCAGTTACCTTCTTGTTCCAATACTTGACCAAGACGGGCATTTCAAGAAAGTTATGTTGATGAGTCTATATCTAACTTGATATCGCAAGGAAAATCCAAGGAAAATATAACTGCTCCTTACAAGAAGAGGCATCCGTAACTTTTGCAAATTCTTCACAATTAAATAATAATATGAATTGGATATTATAACTTGGAACGATTTTATTTTTAAAATTAGAAGATGAATATAATTATCAAACGGTGTATAATTGCAGGCGCTAATTATTTTTTAATAACAGGCTTTTAAATTTGATTTGATACTAAACGTAATAATTTAAGTGATATTATTTGCATGTTATATTAGCTTTGATTAGTATAATGTAACGTATACTTACGACAGTCAAAAAACTTGTTTTTTCCGTGATACATCCATAACAACCAAAAACGGCAACTGCGATAATGACTGAACCAAGAGGAATAGTAAGTACAGGGATCAGTACTATATTATGATAATCTTTAGGTATGACATAAGTGACTTCTTCGAGATTTACTTTGTAAACTATTCCTATGGAAATTACAGATATTCCGACAAGCTGAAAAAAGAAATGGATATTAATTAAAAGTAGTTTGAATGATAAAATTTATAAAACATACTCTACTTTCCTTGGATTTTGCAAATAATTCTCTAATTGCCCATCATTTTAGACTTTGTATAATTGTAAAAGTTTTAGTGATATTTATCTTATCAAATCACTTTAATTAAAATTAGTCTACAGAAATTTTAGGTTCATTTTTATATTTAATTAATTGGCTTGTATATCGATAATATTTTTTTTATTAGTTACTGGAAATTAGTCATAATTACACCCAATATTTCACAAAATATATTTGAAGGCTTTAAAAAACCAATTTCTGTGTTGATACAGCTTGATCTTAAATTGAAAACGTTCAAAAATAACTTTAACCAATAAATTTATCTGGCGGTTCTATTTCTATTTCCCACAACGTTTGTTTTAGTCTAGTGTCAGAATAAAAGATAATTTACAACAAAATTTTATACATAGACTGGAAATGACAATTTACCGTAGTGTATTGCCACAAGTTCTGTTTACTATTTACATTGGTACTCCTCCAAATTCGTTAAGTAACGGTAAATAATTTATAAATAGTACTTGCAAAATACTCTGCAATAATGACTGTCATTAAACTTTATTTTATTATCGGTCAATCGCTAGGCTGGGTGTTTTTTTATTCATTTATGCAAATTCCGAGATTTGTTCAAGTTAACTGTACTTACTGCGAGGAAAAAATTAGCCCAAAACACTAAACACTTCACTATATCATCGTCGCAACCCATTTTACATATTTTTACAAACACAAATAAATTCGTTTTTCTTATCGATCACAGATAATTCGTTATCGGAATTACGGAAACCCTATTAATTTATTTGCCGTTGGCTTCGAATATAGATGGAGACTGAGGATTAAGATTGTTTTTTATCAGGGAAGTTTATTTTCTTTCACGCGTGATCCGGCAACCATAGCCGGGAGTTTGCACTACTTATGGCCAGCAAATTGCGGATTAACTCCATTTGGATGAAGATTTTTTACAGCGACCGGCGTATTCACTTTGCATAAAAAATGTAACAGACACATCTTTAAAGTTATTGGAAAATGAAATGAATACTTCATTATCACATCCTAATCAACTTGATCTTAACATTGGCTGTTTCTGAACGAGTTTACGTGTTTCAAATATGAGTGGTGGGGCAAGGGAGAGGGGAACGTAGCTTTCCACAGCCAAGTTTGATCTTACAAAAATCCTTCTGACCTCTTTCAGAACTTGGCAACTATAAGAAATATAAGAACAGACGTAGAATCCAAAACTCTTCTTCTGCTAGTAACAATGCAGCAAACACTCTTCTTGTTTGTTTGCCACAAGTTAAAAACAAATAATGAATCATTTAAAATTTCAAGCAAGCATTTAGAGTGGTTACTGGTTGTGTTCGTCTTCTGGAAATGGTTCCCAGTGCTGGTAATGCATATGGCAAGCCACAAGTAGCTGATAACTTATTCAAATGGAGTATTGATAAACTGATAAGATCTGATAGTGGGAACTTAATAGTTACCGTGTAAGTGATATAGAACAGAGTATACGGGGTGTCCCGAAGCTAACAGGATATATTTCCTCTAACGAAAATATACGGATTTAGATCAATTTGCCTTTGGTACGGTTCTGGAACCGTAAAAACGTATATGCCTTCAAATACATTTTTTATTCCGTTACTTTAAGATTTGACATACTTAGGTTTTTGGGGTAGACGAAGACGAAATAAACTAATTTCTTACCCAAAGCATATTTTTTTGTTGATAGCGATTTTGCTGCCACACAGGTGTTTTGTGTAAAGTTACTTTCCTTGCTGTAAAAAAGTTTAGTATCCAAAGAAAAGGGACAGTTTCCCCATGTATCACGAACCGTTTCATCTTGGAAGGAATGGTTTATTTTTGGATTTTTTATGTAAGTATCACTTTGACAGCTAATATGATTCGAGCATTGTGACTACAATAGTATCAAAGATTTTAAACAATCATTACTGAGCAGTCATAATACTAAACTAAAGAAACGATATTGTAAATAATCTGTTGTAATTGAAATCGCCATTGTTATCTTAAAACTTTGCAATAAGTTAATAGCACCCCAGAAGTTTCCAAGATGCAATATCAATTTTAATACCTGAAAAGTCACGAAAACAATAGATGGTGATTTGAAAGAAAACTTTAATACAAGGTATCCCAGTGTCGGCGTATAAAAATTTACCAGGGGGTAGAGCAGACCAAAATAAGGTTAAAATTCTTATAACATATTTTTCTGCGATGCACTCTCACTGAGTTACAGGGTGTTGTTTAGAAAAAAAATAATAACATTCCGTAGTAACTCAAAAACCCTTTCAGGGATTTGAGTAATTTTTGGGTGAAGATCATTAAAACTACATGGTGCTTATTTCGATCTGACGCCAGGGGCGGCCTAGGCCAACTTGCCCTCAAGGTTATGTCTTCATAGCATTTGCATATCCTAGTTCTATGTAATTTGATTACGTTTTCCTGAATCTTCAATCGATTGTGAACAAAAAATGGACTCTTATTTCATAGCTCACGCAGATACCTGTCTTCCGTTACGAGTAGGTGCTCCATCTTGTTGGTAGGACATTAAGGGAACGTCATCTAGTACGCCATCAACAATATTTTCTAAAAAATCCGTGTATCTCTCTGAATTCAAACGGTCTACAATAATTTGAGGAGGCAGAATGACTCCGTTGAAGATTCCTCCCCAGACATTTATGGAAAATCTTCTTTGAAACACGGAAGGTCATATCACATGCGGAATTTCAACGAATCAAACATGAAATTTTTTAAAATTATTTATAGCATTTCTCGTAAAGATAGTTTCATAGCTCCACAATATCTTTCGATGGAAATTTTCAACATTATCGATATCTTCTAACCAGTGGCGGCGCGTGAACATTGATTGAATGTGTTCTGCTTAGGGTTGTTACATTTGTTGAATTGAATTCCGGGATATTAAGTGCCCGGAGTCTCTAAATGGCGCCGCAGGCGAAAAATTTTAAAATTTTCAAGGTCACGCGTTTTCCTGGCACTTCTGAATTTCAAGGAACAATGAATTTATAAAAAAAATACAGATTTTCACAAGAATGATTTTTGAAATTGATACCTTTTTGAAATATCCATTTACGAATTACCTACTGATGGTATAATAAATTGGAATAAACTAAATATATTTTATTAAATTATTGAATATTGTTTATAAAAAAAAATCGTTTGTGAAATTTACCAACGATTCAACGAATTTTAATTTTCCTCGGCGTGTTATGATTTTTTCTTTATCTTTTTTTATATATATGTACATTATATTATATTCCGGGAGTTATACGTGCAAATCCGAAATCCGGGACCATACAGCTAATTCCCGGTACAATCACAGAAAATCCCGGTCATACCAATGTGGCTAGATGTTCTTTTAAAATGTCGTCAAGATCTACACTAAAATTTATGAGTCCACGAAACACATCAGGGTTGTCCGAATTTTCTGTCTCGTCGTGTCCGAGAAGTGCTAATTCGAAAGCTCCGCAAAATTTTATGCAATCTATGATTTTAAATAATACATGACGATTTTTCATTACCTGTTCATATGTTTCCGTATATTATCCCAATATGCAGAATCTAACTGACTTCTTATGTTTATTTTACCTAAAGACTTAATGACTTAAATCTTTCACACTGTATATTGTCCATGCTTTATCCCCACCGAAAAGTAAGCACGGAAAACAAAACAGTGAATATTTTAAATCACACCCGCACACCCACTCTGCTTTTGTGTATACATTATTGTTTTTTTATAACTTTTACTTCTTTTATTTTTAGTTTATCCTCATAAGGCAGAGAACCAAAGTTTTTTTTTAAACGAAACGCTATTCATTTTAATAACTATAATATCCGTAGATGCCTAAACGAAAATATTCACACGTGCCGCTCGCAGAAATAAACCACCACATACCACGTACGAAATATTACTGCATTTACTACAGAGTGCAGACTGCAGCGCTGTGACTATTGCAGCCGCAAAAGCCCCTATCTCCGTGTACTGGGTCACGTGCCTGATCAGCCAATAAAAACAAAGGACGCATATAATTGTTCGCTGTCCACACATTGTGTATATGAGGTTGCATATATTAAGGAGCGTAGCTCGCGTCGCAATAAATAATAATATAAGCTCCTAGATTTATTTTAGCGCGAGTACATTTGGATTCTTTAAATATTTTGTTGACATTTAATATGATTAAATACATAAAATTTTATGTGTTCTGCAGCTCCGCAGCTCTTATGGTAAAACCGCCACTGCTTCTAACGACCACCTGCAAAATTGTATTCTTTTTTCGGAATAAGCAGGATGCAAAGTTTGGATTTTATGTAGATGGTGTGGGTGCAGTTCTTCTCGGTTTAAAATTCTCCAGACGCTGCTGGGACACCCTGTATGTCTCTTTTTTTCCAGAAAGAGCAATGCATATAAAACGTGCATATAAAAAATTGTTAACAATAAAATATTGACGTTTTAAAAGCAAAGAAAAATAGAAAAAGAGAAAAGTTATAGTCATACATGCCGAGAGACTGGCTACCAAAGACAACCCGTAAAATGTATTTTCATTTGGAAACAAAAGTGTTATCCTTTTTCAGAGAACAATATTATATTTAAATAGAATTCATTTTCAATGATAGACGTTGTAAACAATTCTTGCTTTTAAATCCTTTAAACTGGACTCCTACACTTTAGTCATCAAAATAGAGAGATCTTTATATCTCTCTATTTTATTTTTGTTCCATTTTTTCCACTTTATTTCACCAAAACCAACTATATAAACTAATTTTAAACTAAAAACAAGGTAATAAATCCGCTTCCTGACCACCATCTTTACGAACGAGCCTCCCATAAATCCTTTAGGTATTTTTACTATCATTATCCGCCGTTTCCATGAACGCCTTAATAAATTCCATCAATCAATACACATTTCATACTGTGCCCAAATGTTGCAGTACCTGCCGTCAGAGCGTCGTCCAAAAAATAAACGTAAAGTAACTAGAAATAAAATATTGGTTGTATAAGCTACGTACGCCGCTTCTATAAGGTCTCGTGAATATTCAGCATTAGGCACGACCGCATCGCTGATCGTTCGACGCGACAAGCTCTGAATCGAAGTAAACCGATGTTTTTAGCTACTACCTACACGCCTCGTTGCTTGTAGTAATGCAATGCGTGCCGGACGGAACATTTCTGTCAAGTTGAAATTATCCTGGTTTGCAGTAGGCGTCTGTCATTTGGTAAGAAATGTAGTTTGTTAGTGTACAGTGTACTGCAATCGGCTTGTATTTTGTGTGACTGAGACAATGCGCAAAATCTAGTACCAAAACAAATAAATACATGTCAGCTGTGCTCTTTTCAGTAGCATCAATGCACCCTGTTAGTAATTATGCAAATTTTCCGCAACAGATCCCTGAGAATTATTATTGTTAAAGGTTGGCGCGCCTCTTAAGGAATGCTACGCTTGCGCATGGTTATAAATTTACGAATATGATTTATTTTGCAAACTAAACACTGAATTATATTATATCAGCTTACGTATTCGTAAATCTCATTGGTTGCTTTTTGACAACGTACTACGAGAGCGTGTTTTGGTTGGATAAATTGAAATGTCTCTAGTCTCTATGAAACTTATGACGTTTGACGTTTGGTACATAACCTAACCTCAAATAAAATCTGTATGCTGATACACCATTATTTTAAATTTTAAAACCCTGCCAAATATCAACACAAAAGTATATCAGTTATGTTATAGATGTACACAGACTATCCTCAATCATAAATAAGCAAAAGTATATACAGGGTGTTTCAGTTATTAATTTTAAGGGTAAGATGGGGAGAATGAATCTTGATCTACCGTACTGTTGGTCACTAACCGAAATTTAATACCAATTTTTAACGTTTTTACTGTTGTCTAATTGAATATGAGTTTTTAGTATTGCATTGTGTTGAAGTAGGTAACTATTCAGTTTGTAATACGTATACCTTATCATGCAACTTATTACTTTTCAGAGTTGTATGATGCCTACTTATTTAAAATGACAAATACGGCTAAAAAAACAGTCACTCATTCGCCCATAGAGTATTAATAAAGATGCGTTGCACTTTGATTTTGAAGGCAACTGCAAAACTGGACGAGACGACTAGGAAATCAGCTGTTTCGCTACAACGTCCGATTCCGGTACGTTCCCTATTACGTGGAGCGCCGAGTTAACGGGAGTTAAAGGGGTAATTGCTTATTTCTTAAAACGTCGAGAAAAATTTTTTTTTCGATTTTCTGTCTATTAGGCCCTTAGAATACGTGGTTAAAATTAATGAGATTATAACTGGCAGTGACGGCTCGCGAATATTATTGTGGTTATATTTTGGTAATGAACGCCGTTTCTTTTAGGGGACGCAATCGAGTGTTTTGTTTATTTTTTATAAAATTAATTTTTCTTTATAATGATATACCTGCATTTAATTTTTATATTAATATTAACATTCTATTTCTAAATTTCAATTTTGTGAAATATAAGAAAACATCTGTTTGTACCTATCTATCAGTTGATCATGGTGAATTTTTTTATAAGATCTCAAGATCGGCTACCTCTATTTCAATTTCTTATTTCGCAAATTTCGTTAGAAATTCTTCTGAGTTCTAATTCTGCCAATTTCAATAGTCAGGGCCGTAGACATGAGGAGTCAGTCCCTTTCGTGAATCATAACTTCTACGCCTATGACTTTTCTGAAATATTTATGCATACTTGGCTAAAGCGGGACTTTTATAAAAAAAACATAATTTTGCACATTTTTTAAAATACTTCATTCAAATTCGGTACATGCAACCGCTTATTGAGAATTGACAGAATGGACAAATCTACAGGGTGGAGTTTTATTTGAAACCACCTTTAATCCTCTGAATTAATAATCTCTCTGTTTTATCATCTAACTTTTTGCTCTCTGATGTTTTTATATATCTTTAACTGTTTCGATGGCAATCATCAAAAAGTAACTTAAAGCACAGTTACATTTTTTACGTAGATTGACTAGAGTTAATTAAAACCGCAGTAATAAGATTTCAACTCTGGTGAACGGTTTAGAATAGAACCATTCATATCAGTTCATCTACCACGAAATATGTAAAACAAACTAACTAAACTAAAAATTATGCTTTGCTTATTATTGTTCTCCCGTCACGGACATATGTGTCACAAATCATTTTCAACTCTAGGTAGTTTGCAGATTGATTTCCAACGTTAATTTTTTTTATCCTATTTTTTGCATTTCATTGCAAGAGTCAGAAAAAGGACCTCTGAACACCACGAATACCATGACAGCGATCAAATGTACTTACCTAACTTTTTATTAAATAAATTAGAGGGTAATGACAGGATCCACCTATTCATTTTCATTTATTTGAGGAGGTCTTTGATCTATAAGGACGATGAACCTGAACGTGCTCATATTTGTACTTAGCTGAATATGATTTCACGGTTGGTAGACAGTAGCGATTGCCATTCTTCCTTTTTTAATACAAAAACAACTGATATTAGGTAACAAATAGCGATCATAAAGTAAACGAAACACAAATTTTATAATTCTATATTTCCCAAGCGTTTAGAAAAACCAATCGAAAACAGATGTTTGTAGATTTCGTCAGATGTTTCCACAAACATTGCATAGTCGCTCTTTATTCTCATCCAATATAAACTTTATTTCAGATATTATTATTCCTGTCGCTTTATGAGAGAATATGGGAACTGGTTAAATTGGAAGAACCTTTTCTCGTACAGGACCATATAGTTATATTAACTTCCTATGCGGCGCAACTACTAAGCATTTTTCTTCTTATTTTTGGATCCGTTAAGGTAAGCATAAGATCTCTAACTACTAATTTGATACTTAATCAAGAAGAATATTATTAATTCCATTTTTAAAAGGAGAACACTTGAAAAAACAATTCTTAAAATACAGAAATATATTAATTTATGTATAGCGGGTAAATTTCGTGTTGCTCTGTACACAATGAAGTTTAATTAAAATTAAAATTATTAAAGCGTTGATACGACTTCTATAATCTAAAGACAACTTTACTAAAAAGAGACCTATTGAATAAAGTTAACGGCATATCAATGGTCGCAGATGTTTTAAATTAGTCAATTTATGGTCTCATAAAATGGCATGTTAATAATAAATTATCAGTATAATTGCCTTTAAAATATTTTCAATGAATTGCAACTACTGTTAGCGAAAGTACTTCTACCACAATTTTAATCGATTTAATTGCTATTTTTTGTCTCCTTTTAAGTCGGTCATTGTTTAATAATTTATTTCAGTAAATCAATGAAATTCAAGTAAATGTGGAATTGCGTAATGATGTTACTTTCAAGTACATGTGCGAATAATATGATAAAATTGAGTACTGATAAGAAATATCAAGTCGTTCGAATATTTGTTTATTAAATTCCAATAATTCTAACTCCACAAATATGATTGTGATGTGATTATGGATAAAACGTTGCATTGCATCGTGTTTTAATTGCCTTTTATCCACTTAATAATATTAAACGCTCGAACAACGTTCTTGTGTCTAAACATTCTTATGTGGATAAAATGCTACTTAAAACACTTGTACAATAAATAACTATTATTCGACTTTCAGGGAAATCCATACTACATTATACCGTGGTTAATTTGTACTGCACCTTTGTTTTTTTCTGCAACTCTATATGCAGTCCTATATGTATCACAGGAAGAGACAAGTCAGATGTTCCTTAACTTCATTGTTGTAGGTAAGTTATAAAGAAAAATTGGTAACATTTCAATTAGATATAGTAGCAACAGTCAATGTACTACCCAGGCACACATCCATGCATTTGTATTGCTGTATGGTAAACACAAATCTAGTGTCAGTTTCCACAGTTCGGGTCGCTGTTTTTTTCCCAACATCTAAAAGTCATTGAAATCGCAATTGAGAGTCGAAAGACGGTACGGGAGTTGGTATCAAACTGAAAGGCCATGTAAATGAGAATTTATTCATGTATTACTTCAAAAACGTTAATACTGCCGTTTTTTATCCATCATTACTCAAAAACGATCGTTTTCCTGTAATGAGACACCACTGCATTTGAAGACGTCATACTTTAATATTTTTTGATCCACGGTCTGAAACCCAAAGTTTATTTAAGATCATTCGGCCAGAATTTCTTTATAAACTGTTGGAAAAGCAAGCAAAAAAGCAGATAGATCCAAATTAACTATCTTGTTTTGTATCAGGAAAATGAAGTTTCCACTATTTTTTTCTGTGACTATGGAAAGATTTGTGGAATGAGTTCTTCCGTTTTATTCCTATCAGATGTTCCAAATCCCTTTCGAATATACAATCTTTAGGAAATGCAACTTCAATTTCATCAAACATCCCATTCGCCAATGTTTTGAACAGTGTCAGAGACCACTCTTTGCAGCCGTTACTCTTGTGGTTATCTAATAGGATTTCAATAACTCCTTGAAAGCTAAGTCATGCTACGTTTTTTTGTCAGTTGCTGTTGATGAAAAGGTCTAGCTTTTCAGTATTTTTTCTAATTTGCAGTCCATCAAAATCATCTTCCTTCAATTTTGCATCGGTGATCGATGAGAATCGTTCTCCCAAATTTTAGAAGCATCTTTCAATTAATTGTTTTTTAACATGGTTGGTCGAAGATTAATCTTTTTATAAACAATGGCGTTATTAATGTCTTGGACATTTTGGATAAATATTAGTAAATCTTAATTCAGTGGAACAAAACGATGCAAAAAGGTTTTCAGTTCCCTAACCCCATGTATGTATATTTCAGTGATTAACAAACTGATTGAGGTTAAGAATACAGTGAAAACTAAGTAAAAGAAAATATGGCGCCCGCTGTAAATAGGCTTCTTGATAATTTAGAAATGATGATTTTTTCGTTGGCCAACATAGGTAACTCATAATATTATAAGAGGAAGAGAAAATGGTAGAATAACACTTTTTAAAAATTAATGACGTTTTTTTTTCGTTATTCATTAGACTCGACTAATTTAAAACTGTTTTCTCTGTTTCAGGTATAATATGGTCGACATGGTATGTGGTTATAAAATTTCATATAGAAAATCGAATCAAAGCTCGATGAAGATCCTTCATTGTTACAAAGTAGAAGACGCTGTTACTGTCTGTGTGGTTTTATAATGGACAGTACTAATATTTTTCCATTATTAAAACGTTTTTTATATATCACCTGTTTAGACAGAGAAATTGCCTCAAGCCTGTGTTCAATAAAATCATTCAAGTAAGATATATCACTACATTTTGATTAAAATACACAAATCAATTGCCCCCTCTTCAGTCACAATCGCTGTCCGATTGTTCTGGCTGTTTCTCTTCAAGTTTAGTGGGGATGTAATTATAAAAGTATAATTATATAACCAAGCATTTAAGCATTAGCTTTAAATGTGAAGTGAGTGTGAGATGTGTTTTCATCTCGCGTAATTTTTACCATAATTTGCGTTTTAATTGCACGTAAAAGTCATAATTATTATAATTAGAAAGTGCCCACTGGACCAGATGAGTTTCACTTGTTTATTTCTCATACTGTTGGAATAAACGTATAAATCATAAAAAGCATGCAAAGCAAACAAATTATGCAGGGTGTCACTTCGCCAAAATTAACATAGAAAGTTCTGATGAACTAGAGATCAGTTCAGTCTCCTTACGAATATACAGGGCGGTTAAGAAAAAGTACCATACATTCAGGAGTAGGTAGATCATCGTATTCATTCCTATGGACCATGAGCCCATTTATACTTGTACAGCTACTTTTTTATTAATGTTCGACTTCAAAAATTTCGAATTTACATTTAGAAGATTTCGATTAGGCTCAGTTCGAATTTAAAGAACAGTAGGGTTCTTTTAAGCATATTCATTAATTCAGAACTACCAAGAACACCTTATAAAAGTTTGGTAATCGAATTAATAAAACACCCTGTATAAACAAAGAGATGTTTGATAATTTATTCTTGGGCACTTATAAATTATTTTATTCAATTTACTTTTAACACTTGGGAAATTGTAATTTTAAAATTAAAAATACTCGCGATCGAAAAAAATGTTTTTCATCAATTGGAAACTTTGAACACTTATGTATCTGCTAATGAGTATCATGCACTAAAATGAGTATTATCCTAATTTCAATTTTTTTATAAAATACAAAAGCAAACGCAGAACTGTCGCAAAAAAGTAGATAATAGAGAAAAACGGCAAACGATTCGCATGCATGATTCGGATAGAACTTATCTATTGAGTAGTAAATATTTTAAATTCGCACTTAATCTGACGTTAATACTGATCATTTTTAGCTCTTAAGTTTAACTGGTTCTAATCGTTATAATGAATTTCCTGAATGAGCTCCTATACAATAAAGAAAAAAACAAAATCTATCTGATAGGCACCCTGCATTCTGTAAGTACCATATCTTCTGCAATTTGTGAATAATTACTAATTTTTCAATTTTAAGGTTATGGTATGTTTCGGTTTCTGGTCACTTGTTTTGGAAATATTAGACAGAGAAGAACCTATTACCAAATCTGACATCGTTTATATAGCTGTCCATTACACAATACACTTTATTTTGATATTGTTTTTATTTGTTGGAACGTATACAGTGAGTATTTTATGTTTGGGCATACGCATGTGAGTGGTCATGAAATAATCAAACAAAGATAAGGTTTATGACCGCGATAAATACATTAGAGATTATTTTTATATCATTTCAGTTTCTTATTTATTGTAAAAGCTGGATTACTTTTAGTTAATTCTTTTCGAAGAAAACTTATTAAATAACAGAAATCGGGACATAATGTTCTAAACAAAAAATGTTTTTCCAAAACTAAAAACATTGAGTGGAAAATTGTAGTGATTTATATAAAAGTTCTGCAGGAAGATGAGTAAAAACGAGACACATTAGCTAATATCGATATTTTAGACAGGGCATTTTTTTTAATACGATCATTTTCAGAAAGTTTAAACTTGCGATTTTCTAATTTTTTTTAAATGGAACACCTTGTATTTTATTGTTCTATTTTATTCACATATCGGTTCACTTCAACTTTTATGAAGCATGTTCTATATCTAAAATTGTTAGTTTCCAAGATATAGCAACATTTCTGAATAAACTTAATTTTTATTATTATATAGAATACCACAAATAAATATTAAATAATAAAATTAACTCAAAATGGAATGATAAATTATGAACTGACAAGTTGACACAATGTGAGAGTTTTTTCCAAAGCCATTTCGTGCGACGGAAAATAATAAAAATTATGTTTTTCCAGAAATGTTGCTATATCTCAAAAACTAACAATTTTAGGTGTGTTCTTCAAGTGATTTATTACAGACGTACTCTTAACCATAACCAAACTTTCCTTCAATGATACCCTGTTGCGAGGCTATTTCGCTTACGTGAAATTATCTTTAATGCGCATTTTTAGACAATGAAAATGACATGAAAATGCGGATACCTATCAGTATTTCCATAACAATGTTTTTGCATGTAAAAATTCAATATATGCATGTAACTTAAATAAATTGAGCAATTTGTTAAAAAAGGCGACAGTGATCCGATCTACAATTTTTGCACAATTAATTGCTTATTAATTTTTACTTTAAATCGTTGTTTTTTTACAACTAATACAATTTTTTCAGGACACTCTCTTTTTCTTAATACCCTGGTTGGGAGCAAGCTTCCTAACCTATTTTTACATAACGGCGCTAACATTAATTTCACTAAAAAGCAGGAAATTACATGATGCCTTATTGTATTCAATGAATTTTATCTATTTATGTAAGTATATAGCAAATAACAGATACATCTTGAGTTAGCTAAATGACAATAAAACTTACGACTTATGTTCCTTTGTTTTGTAATCTTGTAAAATTATTGAGCCTAGTCAAACTAAAACAATTACATAAAATCAAGACTTAGCATGACCCAATTTAACAATTTTTTTATTTCTAGCAATTTGCTGGTATTCCTGGTATGTAGTAATTTCCTATTTCATGGCGGCGTACAGAAGAAGAAAATTGAATTACTCCGGTATTTATTAAAATGATTTTCAAATTCTCTTTAATTTTAAAATGACGAGACATCTGAGTATATGTAAAACTATGTCTATCCACATTGAGATGCTATTAGAAAGAAATCGAAGTTTGACGTTTAGAATCAATCCTCAATTCAAGTTAAATTAGAACAAAAATGTCAATTATTCACTGTTTCTCATTTTTACACGTACTGTTCAATAAGTAATTGTACTGAAGTAGATTTCAACATTGTGATGTAAGATGTATTTTTTTTTGTCTATTTTGATGTTTTGCCACACGTGAAAAAAATTGTAGGCCCAGACATATAGAAGAAAAACAAAAACTGTGTCATAAATAAATTACTTCGGACAACATATTTAATATTGTCTATTGTGACTTGTAATCTTTTATTAAGTCTCTGTATTTGTATGCTGTATTATGACTTTTGTATAAAGTTGTAGGTTTCTTCAAACCAAACGCTGAAGCTACATTTTTATAATTAATTACGGTGCCACTATTTGAAACAAAGAGAAACCGAAGTGCCAAAAATTTTAAAGTCACTTGTTTTCAGTCCATTCCTCCTCTGTAGATAATCTTAATGCCATTCGCGCAATTAAATTATGGCTTATTTTACTCCAACGTCATTCGCAAAAAGTGTCATTTTGATATCAAATTAAACACTTTGTCAATGCTTTAAAATAATTGCCAACAATTTCAATCTTCTCATGATTATTGCGAACTTGTCACTTCAGCAAAAAAGAAAAGAAGTCAGCAAATTGCTAAGAGAAGAACATTTCAATGTGTAGGCACTATATTCAAAACAATAATTATTATATACAAATAAAATGAAATGAGCTTGACTTAAAATACCTCAAAACATAAAAAGTATGTCTGATTGTGAGTGTAAGCCAAATATTTTCTAGACGAGTATTTTATAGATGTTAAGTACAAATATATACAAGCTGTCATTTTTAAGTGTTCAATGTTTGCTATATATGCTGTTTGCTAACGTTATGTATTGTTTGGAAAATAAAAACTATTATTGGTACGTCTTTTACTAAGTTCCAGTATTCTATACATAGGTAGTGTCCCAGAAACTTCTAACCACATTTTTAGCTCGTCAAAAGCAACAGTTTTCCTCTAATTTTTCTGTTTTAAGCTGTCGTATTAATAAAAATAGCACGGATCGGAAGGGCCATTTCCATCATATCACCGTCCAGAAAAGTCATCACATTTTTGACGAATATCATTCAGTTAGTACGTTATTATAACACTTTCGACCATCTTACCGATCTAGTATAGCATAGCGTAAAGTCCAATAAGCCATTTGTTTGTAATTGCAGCCCAAAGTTAACAGAAAATCTTCGCAAAACGCAATTACAAAAATGTCGTTGTTGATGATAATCCTAAGGTTATAAAAACTGCACTTTTTGTGCATAGTATAACTGCTGTTCTTTTAAAATTTTCCAAACTAAACTTTTTGATACATCTACGAGAGCTGGTTCCAAGTTATTTCCAACATTCTTCAAAACTGCATCACATTTAAAAGATCCGTAATCCATAAGTTCCTGAACAACAGAATGACCTTATTTCCATGATCCATATACTTAAGTCCATGAGTTTTTGAAGATTTCTCACGGGCTTAATGGTAAGCTAACATCATATCAATCTATTCAATTTGTACAACATGATGATGATGAACAAACACAACTGTTGATACCTTGTCGTACTTCTTACATTTGACACAGAGTCTAGTAAAAAAAAACTTTAAGTGAATACGAGCAAAAAAATACTGGACAAACGTGTAAGGTTGCAAAAAAATAAAAAGTTATTGCTTTTGATGAGTTAAATATGAGTTCAAAATGTTTAATTTTTGGTACATCCTCTACCAAGAGACAAAATTGCATGTTTTAACTTCGTGGGTCAAATTCCAACAATCATTGAAGAATTAAAAAGTACCTCAAGTTCTTAAGTATCATATGCCTTATAAAAAATACCACGCTGTCATTTTTTGTACGATTTAAAAAAAATAAAAGGTTGACGTTGGCTATTACTATTTTCCATTGTTTTCAACGCCTACCTTATTAACAGCAAAATGTCTGTTGCTATTCAAATGAATCTTGTTCATTTTCTTTCCGAATCCAAAAATATATGATCACTTGATTGTGAAAAAGCAGTCAATGTGCCATGAAGACAATCAAACCAACATTTCATTTACAGTAACAAACACATTACTGTGACTTATAATAATAATAATTTTTTGCCTTTAAGGGCCAAATTATTAAAGTAAGTTTATCTTACAGTTAACTAACTGGAAGATTAGAATGTGTTGGTGTAGGTACGTTTTAATTACAACAAATCACATTCTAAGCTTATAGTTAGTGAACTGTAAGTTAAACTATTAAAAATTTGGCCCTAAGGAAATTACCGATACTACGAAATTGACAAAAAGGTCCTTTTATTAAATACATTGTTACCAAAGACTCTCTTTGTTGATTTCGTAATATTCAATTTAATGCAGAAGCTTAAGACACAGAGCTGGGTAATTCCTGGTGAAAAAGTAATTAGTAATTACAATTCCCACTTTTTTTCCTGTAATTGTAATTGTATTTAAGTACTTTTTTTTATTAAAGTAATTTGGAATTGTAATTGCAGCAAAATTGTTATAGGAATTGTAATTTGTAATTATATTATTTGAACTATCGAATTACAAATTACTTCTATAAGTACAAATACTTTTTCCAATTACAATTACTTTTTCTAATAATTATAATTACTTTTAAGATCATGCGTATTGCGTAATTGCGTACAGACTTGCAGACTTCTATTATTTCATTTGAGGAAAGCCTTGTGCCGCGTGAACAATAAAAAGTGATTTGGTGAATTAACCTCAGAATTAACAGAGTACATTTTATTTTATTATAATTATTATTAATTTAGAAAATATACGAAGTAAAAATATGTTGTCTATAGCATCAAGTTTTATAAAAATATATATTATGTATCTATGTGTTACTGCTCTTATTTTGAGTTGAGAAAACTTCTGGTTCGGTTACTCAGCCTTTCACTCGTACTTGTTCGATTCGTAATTTTTTTAATAATAATTATTGCTTTCCAGTCTACCCAAAACTACTGTATTCTATATTTTGCAAATGTACTAACAACCAAAAAAAAGAGCATCGGGTTGAATTAATTACCTGACCAATAATATAAAATTATAGTATGAACTGAACTAGTTTAAATTATTAGATTAGGAATAAAAATATAAAAATTCTATATTAGAAAATGAATAAGAATAATCTTTTCATTTTAGTATCAATTCTAATAAATAATAAAACGCAATATTACACAACACTTTTAATTTAAATTTTTAACTTAACTTTTTCCTTTTTCTCTGTTTGGTCACTATAATTTACTTTATCATAAAAGTAATTAGAAAAGTAATTAGAAAAGTAATTGCTAAATCCATTTTTCATGTAACTGTAATTAAATTAATATAATTCCTTTTTTAAAGAATATACTTTGTAATTGTAATTAGTTCCTTTTTTTTAAAGTAATTTGTAATTGTAACTATTTTTAAATTACAAGTAATTACCCAGCTCTGTTAAGACATATACATTTTAGATATTTTTCCCATGAAATTTCTCGAAAATCTTTCGATCCAAAGAAAAAATGTATTCTATAAAAAAATGACATTGATCTGCAATTAGAGTATGCTTTAGAAAAATGTGATAATAAATGCCAGTTTGTAATATTTTTATTAACACCAATCTTTTGTTCTCTTAGGTCACAGTAAAGTATCACTTCTAGCCTTCCAACTATTAATTTTACTTTTAATCTTTCCAACAAGACCAATGAATAATAATAAATAATTTGACATTTCCAGCTCGGTGTCTAGATTTAATATTTTTGACATATCAAAATAAAACATAACGTAATTTTGTTTAATAGATAACAATTTAATCGCTGGGAGATTGTTGCTCTCTAACAGCTGACAAATTGGCATGGTAACAATAGTATTAACACTTATCTGTTTTTTTTATATAAGTTCGATCCGCTCACCGATTAAAGGCGACAGTCTGCTGTCCGAAACTAGGGATTAAAACGGCACTTTCAACCATGTGATCCAAAAGAATATTTTTTATATGAATCACCGGACCATTGTACAAATTTCGAATTGTCCTAGCCGCAGACTTCTTAGTAATTCATTTGATTCTGGGAATGCAATTAAGGGCAATAACAGAATTCGGCGTCTAGTGTCTGGCTCTACTTATGCCAATATTATAGTTAATAGACGCTGTTCTAGCATGACCGTTACTATTTCTATATTTAGTATCGGTTCCGCAGTGCACTAGGTAAATCAGAAAATTCGCCGCGATCACTTTTCTTCGATAGCCTGTAAGGAAAAGACCGTAACAAACCGTTATCGCTTTATAGAATTATTCAGGTAAGTGAAAAAGTTATCATCCCTAACAAAACCGGCACAACTTTTATTAATATAACTTCAGTGGCTTTTTTATATCATCTACTCGTTAAATTACTAATAGTAGTTAAATATGGTCAATATAATCAAGCTAGTGTGCAATAACATATTCATAAAAACTCTCTATAGTTTATATTATAAATTAAGTAAAATCTTCTGCACCTCCATATAAAAATGCAATTTTTTTCGTTTCCCCTAACTTCCAATATATTATCTTCATTTGCAAAATTCTTTAGAGACAAATATAGTTACACAAGACTCCTAATTGTGATATTCCGGAAATAACTACTCTAGAGACTAAATACAGTTAGTAATAAATAAATTAATTAAAATAAAAACTAAAAATGATATGTCTAAATATAATTAACACAAAAAGACATACGTGATATAGTGAAACTGTTAAATAATGCAAACATACTGGTATTCTTGTCGTCCTATTATCACCATTGACAAAGAGTCAAAGACTAATCATGTAAAAACAGCTGCTGCAAAGAATCTTTTTTTTTTCACATTTTACTGGAGATTGTTTCATCAGGCAGCTTTTCTTCGCCTATACAATTATAAACAGTAACAGAAAAAATATGTGTATACATCAAACGTTTACACTGGATTGACTGGGTGAGGGATCATATTATATTTAACATTTTCGAAATGAACTCGACAAGGTAAACGAAAAATGGTGCCTAATTCGTAGAAAATTATCTACTTGTCATTGTGATAAGCACAGACGAATATGTCATCTTTTTGAAATGGCAACATAAAAAATATTGAATGTCAATATTGAATATATTCGTATTTTTGGTTGCCTATACATTGCATGTATTTATATTAACAAACAACAAATATTTTTAGAGGAAAAAACATCTCACTTTAGCGCATGCATCTTAAAAAGTCGATTCTCAATTCTTTTAGACACTTTGTTACATACAGGGTGATAATAAATGGAGGATTCTAAGAAAAAAAAACTTTCTATGAACATATTGTCCTAAACGACCTAGTTTTAGGATTACATCGTGTGAAAAATTTGTTTAAATTGGCAAAAACAAGCAAATGCAAGATGGCGCTGTTTTTGTTCGATCAATACAGAAAACAAATCATAATAGACTCTTTTAATGTGACGTCACATATTTAGACAACTCGCAACAAATTGTCATAGTTGAAATTGTACAGACCAAATCTGACCCTTGTGTACTATTTACGTAGAAACCAAAAAAATTAACAACTTCAAACGAATTTATTTTTAAAAGGATTTAGAAGTATTTAAGAACAAATACAATATAGATACACCAATGTGCTTAAAACTGACAAAAACGATATAAAAGAATTGTATTGTGGCACTCGATTTTGTTTCTGTAGTTCCTCTCGATATTGTAACATTCATTACAGTCTGGTATCGGAAAATCAACAGAATTTGTAGAGGTATTTGTTAAATCCAAGAATATAGAATTATGTCAAGTTAAAAAATGTGGATGATCGGGATGTATATACAGATTTTCGTCTTGCAATTTCCATCACAAGATATGAAATTCTTTTTGAAAATTGGAAGAATTGCACACTTACGGTTA